TGGTGGGTTGTGGTAAACTCAATTCAGATCTAAATAACAAACAAATTTAAAAAAGTAAACAATATTAAACACAAAAAATTATATCAAAAAATTATGGAAACTCAATTCAGATCTAAATAATATGATCAATAATAATATAAAAAACAACAAAAAAAACTAAAAAAGTCCAAAAATTCGCAAATCATACAATGTAATTATCCTATCAAACAATTATCTCTAAAAATTATAAAAAGTAAAGTCAGATCTAAATAACAATAAAAACAACAAAAAAATAAAAAAAAAAAAGTCTAAAAAATCGAAAATTCGCAATAATACAAAATTATCTCGAAAAAATTATACTTCTATCCCAAATTACTCGCAATGTTTTGACTTTTTGCACTATTCACACATCTTACTTTGACCATCTTTTTCAGCTGTTGTATGTATGTCAATGTAATCATATAAGATGTTGTTGGGTCTATTTTAATGTATAGTTTCTTAATATAAACTTTTTATAGCTTTTATAAATATATAATAAAAGATATCGACGGTCAAAGCTGTGCATCGACAAACGTGTCTAGTCAAAATGTTGTAAGTAATTTGGGACAGAGGGAGTGACCTAATATTACAATTATATTAACAAATTAATTATAATACAAACTTTGAATTAAAAACAAAAATCGGTGGTGCCTCGGCTTGCGACCCTCGTGATAATGCTACCCTCGGGGCTCGACAGTGGCTCAGATTGTAACCCTCATGGCTCAGCGATGGCTGAACTTGACGGAGTCCGTCTTAGAAGCAAAGAGGGTGCAAGGGAGATGAAAGAGAAGGAAAGAGAAACAGAGTGAGACGAGCGGAGAAGATAGAGAAACCTTGAGATGAGAGGAGAGAGAATCTGTGAGAGGGGGGCGGTTTGGGGATTCTTAAATTTTAGGGTTAGCCTATACATACTCCGCATATATGAGCTTGTTGGGCTTGTTTGATGATATTTTTTTCTAAATGGCCTTGATCGATGGTTTTAGGCCATCGGTGATACCAACAGTCTTGTAAACTGTCGGTGATAAGTTTTATCGACAATTTAAAGTAGTCGGTGGGCACCGACTGCCAAAAAAACTGCCGGTGTTCACCGATAGTCTCTTAAACTGTTGTTTTCGAAGAATCACCAACAGTTTTTCTTGGCCGTCGGTTCTTAGCTGTCGTTAAATAGCCATTTTCTTGTAGTGTTCACACTTGTCGAGGCACAACTTTAATCATTAATATCTCTAATTAGATATTAGGTAAAATTATTAAAAAAGAAATTATATTATGAAAGTAAATATTGTAACAAATCCAACAATATATTATATGATCATGTTTATAAATTATATAGTAGTAAAAAAAATTAAGTCAAAGGTAACATATGAATAGTGCAAATCTCAAATGATGCATTTAAAAAAAGACGGATGGAGTATTAATTAATAGGATTTTTTTCTATGGGCTTTTACCTTTCACTAGAAAGGGTTTTTCCTATTTTTAGCTTTAAAGGTTTTAGTTATTAGGACATTAATTATTTAATTTATATATGTTACGATAGAATTAGTAATTGATTGGGTACAAATATATAATTCTTGATCTGTGCACTCGAGTGCACCTTGAGCATGGTGCACCCGGTAAAAAAAAAAAAAAAAAAAAAGAAACTAGCAGAAAGAACATTGTTATAAATTATAAAGAACATGAATATATATATATATATATATATATATATATATATATATATATATATATATATATATATATATATATATATAAAAGAACATGTCATTACTTTGTAAAGAACATGTATGATATTGAATTGTCATAATAATTTTCTCTCTAAAATTAATTTCTCCTAAAAATAATTCAAGATTTCACTTTAAAATATCAAATTTAAGTTTTAACATTTAAAATTTCATTTACAAAATTTCAGTTTTCAAAATATTTTATTTCGGTCATATTTTTTCGCCAATTTTTTTAAAATTTTGTATTATAATCATAATATTCATCTTCACAATGACCATGTGTATTTGTTAGGATGTTCTTTATATGATTTAATAATGTTGTTTACCTAAAAATATAGTGTACTTTATATTTATTTGTAATATATATACTAAATATTATTAACAATATATTCTTTTCATATGTTCATTATTATTTTATCTTATCCGTTTCATATTTTTTTTTCAACTTTAGGGTATTATTTGTGAGATAAAAAACATTCCAAAGTTGCAAAAAAAAAATAAAACGGAGGTAATAAAACACATACACACTTGACAATAGGAACAAGTACTTCAAAAAAATATAAGGGATAAAAGAAAATAACAAAATGGTAAAACAAATATAATACCTAAAAGTATATAAAGGAACAAACGAGCATGAGCATAGAAGAATATATTATTCAAATGAAAAGAACATAAATTGTATTATTGAAACCCAAATAACATTTTTATCTACATATATTAAAGAACGTAACATAGTTTATAATGTAAAGAACATATAGTTCATACCCAAAGAGCATAATGATCAAACTCAAAGAACATATTATGCTCGTGTTCTTTGCAAATGTCTATAATATTCTTTCTTTTGCCCGTGTTCTTTATATATATTCGTCATGTTCTTCCGAATGGTGCACCAGGTGTACCATAAAAATTTCAATAAACATATATGATTAGAAATTAAGATTAAAATTTTTAGTTTTCCATCTTATCTTAGCATATGATTATTAGTTTTTTATCTTATTTTTGTACCATACACAAAACTGCGACTTTTGTGCACCTTATTGATTGTGTTGACAAGAAACTCTCAATTCATGCGAGAGTTAAGTACTGTCCTTTCAATTTTCCTGTAAATTCTTTAGTCTTGCTATAATTTGAAGATGCAATATTGTTATATCTTGAAAGTTGCGAGACTTGTGAGTCTTGAGAGATCCCATCATTTCTAGTCACATCTACTTTTCCCTACAAATATTAATAGATAGATACAGTAGTATTACTATTCACTATAAAAAAACTAAAACTACCATTATTACACTCGATTATTATATTCATTTTTGCTTTTATTGCTACGTACTTATTATTGGAGAAATGGAGAATACATTCCATTTATTCCAATTAATTTTTTGTGGGGCCTACAATACACATTATATTCTACTCCCTCCGTTTTACAACAGCTTCTGTACCTTCAAGCGCATTTTTGTAATTATGTTTAGTATTTAACATGTGACTCACGCATGCTAACACATCTCCTTCATTTCGCTTTCGATTTTTCTTTGTTCTCTCTCTACTTCTACAAAATTTATGCCCAAAATTTTAGCAAATCTTCCAAAAATTTATTCAAATTGAAGATTTAATTAACTCAGCAATAATTTAGATTTTACAATTATTGAAGCTTTGAATTACAGAAATTGAACAGAAAAAAATAATCAAAAGCTTGTGTTGCTTATTAATCGCGGTATTGGTTATATTGCTTATTAATGGCGGTATTGGTTCTAGTGCAAATGATCCTCTTCAAAAAGTCATTCAAAAATCTAATCCAGGTATTATTTTAACCATTGATTAATTTATTAATTCATAATAATGAATTTTTCGAATTGAATTGAAAAAAGTGGAACTGCAAATTTACTATGAAAAATGAGCAATTATAATTTAACCATTTGAAAAATGAGTAAATTTAATCTAACCATTTCAAAATGAGAAAATAAAATCTAATCAAATCTAAAATGAGCAAATATAAACCAATTATTTGAAAAATAAGCAATTATAATCTAACCAACTCTTAAACGAGCAAATATAAACCAATTATTTGAAAATTGAGCAATTATAATCTAACCATTTCAAAAAAGAGTAAATAAAGTCAAACAATTTAAAAAATGAGCAATTATAAAGCAACAATAAAAAAGAAAAAGTAACCATTTTTCAAATGAGCAAACATAATCAAACGGAATTTTACCTTATATGTACTGTGCATAATTGTATAGAAATTGAACACAATCATTAAGGACATTAAAATTCACAAAAAAAAAAAAATTACATCCAACAAATTATTAAACAACAATTTTTTTAAAATAAAAGTAACATATGTAACCCAGATTTCAACAAAATTACAGTAGAAAAATCAGAATTTTGAAAAAAAAAAAAATCAAAACAAAAATTGAAAAAAAGGGAAAAATTTACCTAGATTTGTTGCAAATACATTTCATTATATTCGAAATCAAACATCGAAAATATAGATGACGAAAGACGAAGAATACTACATATTGAAGAGAGATGAAGTAAAAAGAAGTGAGAGAAACAAGGAAGGGAAGAGAGAGAAATTGTTAGAAATGAAAGTGTGGTGCGTGTAAATGATAAGTAATAAAAGTAGAAAGAAATTGAATAAAAATATTAAAGCTAGGCTGACAAAATAACGATTATAGCCCCGGGGTACCGTACACCCAGATATATGACACTATTTCTAGTTTAACAATGATATTCTTGTTTGGAATCTTTTGACTTTTAAAAATAAGAGATAATCTTCTAAATTTCTCACAATCTATAAGACAAATATTGTAATATGGGGTCTAGTTTGATTCGTCTTGGTGAGTACCTCATTAAAATCTAACTTTTTTTAATTTTTGCTAGTGTGAGATTAAACATATTTGCGGTCAAAGATTTACAAAAACTTGCATTGATTTACGTAAACGGAAACATCATTGTGGAACGGGGGTGTAGAATCTAGACCATTACTCCCTCGAATGCAACAATTTAACTGATAATATCTTTAACTATCAATAAGTAAAAACTATAACAATTGAATATTAATAAAATATTCATTGAGACGATTCAAACAAATACCCACAAGATTTTATTTATTCTTATGTATAAACTACAAACATTAGTCAAAGTAAATTAGATAAATAGTATAAAAAGTCAAAACGTTTCATTTATTTAACCACGGAAGGACTATGTTCTATTCCTTACTATAAATAGCACATACATATTCAATAAACATTCCAAACTCTCATATAAACCAACATATTCCCATCAACTAACATTCTTAATGGGGTATTACTTGTTAATCCATACACTTTTCCTTTCTTTATTTGTAATATTTTGCTATTTTTTTGGCAATTTTTTTCGCAACAAAAATGGGCTCCCAACTAATTGGCCCCTAGTTGGGATGCTTCCTGCACTCCTAAAAAATTTCGATAATATTCATGACTTTTTTGTTGAATTTTACAAAAATTCTAACATGACCTTCCATTTTAAAGGCCCTTGGTTTGCCAACATGAACATTCTTGCTACCGTTGATCCTGCCAACCTTAACCACATATATAGCAAGAAATTTGGATATTTTGTTAAGGGTTCCAAATTCAATGAAATGTTTGATGCCCTTGGCGATGGGATCCTTAATTCGGATTCAGACATATGGAGTTACCATCGAAATGTAGCTCATTCTTTTCTCCATCATCCTCAATTCCTCCACTCTTTGATCAATATAACACAGAAAAAAGTCGAGTATGGACTCATCCCATTCTTTGACCATGTTTCTAGGCACAATATTGAGATTGACCTACAAGACGTGTTCTTAAGGTTCATATATGATATAATGTGTACGATCATGATGGACCATGACCCGCGGTCTCTTTCAATCGATTTGCCTGATTTTCCACTCTTAAAGGCTGTGGCTGACCTTGAACGCAGTATTTTCACTCGTCATATTTTGCCAACATGCATTTGGAAATTCCAAAGGTGGTTGAATATAGGATTAGAGAAAAAGCACAAGCAAGCGTGGAAAATCTTTGATGACTTTGTTTACAAGTGCATAAATAAGAAGAAAGAAGAAAGGAGGAGAGGAACATATAAGCAAAAGGATAATGAAATAGAGGTAAGTACAATAGATCTATTGACCGTATTTATGGATGTTGAAGAAAACACTATAAAGTCAAAGAGCCACAATAATAATGATAAATTTTTAAGGGATACAATTTCTAATTTTTTCGTAGCCGGGGGAGAGACAACAAGTACTGAGCTTAACTTTTTCTTTTACCTTCTCTCAAAAAACCCTCAAATTACTCACAAGATTAGAATGGAACTAGACGCGATGATGATACAAGTGAACAATAACTACGATAGGTTTCTAAGCAATTTTAAAGAGCTTAGCGGCCAATTAACATATCTTCATGCTACAATATGTGAAACACTAAGACTCTATCCTGCATTAGTATACAATCACAAGTCACCAATTGAGCCCGACATCCTTCCTAGTGGTCATCGAGTGAATCCAGGTACGGAAATTATCTTCAACACACATTCCATGGGAAGGATGAAGTCGATATGGGGAGATGATTGCAACGAGTTCAAGCCCGAAAGATGGATAACAGAAGGAGGGGTGATTAAACATGAGCCATCGTACAAGTTTGCGGTGTTTGGCGCAGGGCCAAGGGCTTGCATGGGAAAGCAGATGGTTTACACGCAAATGAAGATTGTAGCTGCCTACATCATTCGGCTCTATGATATAGAGTCTGTAGACGAAGGACAACCTCTTATCCTCGATATTTCTATAACTCTTCGTATGAAACATGGATTTAAGGTTAAGATCATTCGTCGTTCTCAAAATTAGTTCAAGCACAAGTGATGCAAAAATATATGTTCAATTTATAATTAATTACTGCGTTTCATTTTTGTTACACCATTGTCATATGTGATATAGCGAATATTACAAGATTCTATAGATATACAAGTATTATTTCGTGTAAAATTGTCTTCTCAATATATATGATCAAATTGTTCAATTCATGCTGCTTTGTTTTTTTACAAATACGTAGCATTTTGCTACGTATTATAAATCATATTTTGTTATGTGAATTTATTAATTACTCAGGTATGATGTAAATTCTGACATACTCAAATTAATTTTACTTGGTGCAATATATGGTATATATCCCCTGATACGTAGTATATTTATTTAATGATCATGGTTCAATATGGGCTGAAGACAATAACATGAAGCCCGGTCTTGGTCAAAACTTAACTTATAATCCGAAGTTCGAACATAACTTGTTTTTATTTTGGAATTTTTATGTAAAACTACCTAATAAAACCTAGATTTTGTGAGAAACAACCTAATAAATAATATGTTGTAATAAACTACCTAATAAAGGTAAAATGTTATAAACTATTACCTAAGAAAAGGTAAAATGTTATAAAATACTACCTATACCGAATTTCCACCGTTGACCAACCTCAAAACACTCTCGAAACCACCGCTTCCATTCCCAAAACTAACACAACACACCTAAACCACCTTTCAAACCCAAAACCACCACCACCACCTCCAACTCCACAAACCACCATCCCGATGGAAGCACTAATCTACACTCACCAACTCGGAATATCCTCCAACCACCCTGAAAATAACCTTACCACCTTGAAAACCAACCTTCATGGTGGCTTCGGGGGTGCTTTCAGGTGGATTAACGTCGTAAAATTAAGTCAACGGTAGAAATTCGGTCAAAAGTAGTATCTTACAACATTTTATCTTTTATTATGTAGTTTCTTACAACATTTTTTTAATAGGTAGTTTCTCACAAAATTTAAGTTTTATTAGGTAGTTTCTTACAAAAAGCCCTTTAATTTTAAAGTAGAATAATTAATCACTCTCTCTGTCTTAAAATGTCTAAAGTCTGATCATGTCTAATTTGGTCTAATAACAAATTATCAAGTTTAGATGAAAAGAACATGCCGTTTAATTGAAGTAAACAATCAATTTATTCCGTACTTATTAACGCAGTCGCGGTAAAATAGTACTTCTGCGCCTTCAATTCACAAAAATCACTCATTTTTCGATATTGTTTGTTTCATAACAATTACACTTACTCTTGCTTCAAAAAAAAAAAAAAGAAAAACAATTACACACTTTTTTGAGTTTAGTATTGTACTGTTGTTCCATGTTTAAAGATTGACTAGTATTTAGCCCGTGCGATACATGGAATAATCTTTTTATCTAAATATATGTATTTAGACTTTTTTTTTTTATCAAAAACTCTTTTTAGAAAAAAGATAATCAAAAACATTTGTAAATACAAATCGCACTTTTTTAGTAAATTAAAATGTAATACTACGTACATAAATGTAATGCAATATATTCTTAACAGGAAAAAAAAATACATCATTACATTAACAAAAAAAGTAACTCTGCCAACAAATAAAATTTGGTTTTGCTTATTTACTTAAAATTTTAGCAAAAATAATACTAAAAAACACACAAAGGGTTTATACTCCATACAAATAATTTAATTTATCACAATATTATAATTGAGATAAAATTGTAAAATTGCAAATTGAAAAAAAAGCGGGAGTTAAACATAGAGAAAACAAACCTTTTTGTGACAAATTTGATGAAAGTGTGAAACGGATCGTTACAAAATTCGGCCAAATTATCTTACAAAAATTAATCCACTCAATTGCGGTGTAAGGTTGTATAATTCAAATTAGAAAAATACTTCGTAGGAAGAAAGGAAATCAACTCAATTGCGATGTAAGGTTGTATAATTCAAATTAGAAAAATAGGAAGGAAAATAAATTTTCGACATGCAAAAATGGGGAGAAAGAAGAGAATTTCTAAGTTATAATGACTATCATTTGGGATGAGAGTTGGAAATTGAAGGTTTCAGTAACTATTGTTGGAGGCTATTAAGATTCATAATAAAAATTGAAAGAGTTTTCCTAAATAAATAAATAAACATTGAAAGAGTGCATTTATCCAAAGAAATAGAAAACTAATTAACTATATGATGAAAAGACATAAATGAAAGGTTTTATTTAAATTAATTAAAAATATATAAAAATATGTAACTACAAATGGATATTAGGGAGATGCCACGTGGCACTTTGTATGACTTACAAAAGTTCCTATTTTAAAATATTAGTATAGATATAGATAGTATAGATTTGCAAATTCGGTCGATCGGAAGAGATGTTTTATTGAATTTTTGTTTTAATAATATATATATTTATATATTTTTTGATCCAATAAATTATTTTCTTGAATAGGCATGATTAGGGGATTGGGATGAAAGAGATGTAGAAGAGATATTTGATTGAATTTCTATTTCTTTTTTTTTTTTTTTTGATGGAAACAATTATTTTCTTGAATAGGAATGATTAGGGGATTGGGATGGAAGAGGTGTTTTTTTTTTTGTTGTTGTAATTAAATTGTTTTAAAACAAGAAAAACAAGAGGAGGACAATTGTCCCTCCAACATCCTGTTTTAAAATAATAGTATTGATGTGATTAATGTGCTTTGGATCGAAAAATTGGTTAATTTTTTGATTACAAACATATTGATATACTCCCTCGTCAATTGGCAAATAAGGCGATGAACCACAACAATATGAAATAAGGTATGAAGAATGTACAAAAATAAGCAATAACTAACAATCATAACTTTGCTTATTAGTTATTTTTATTTGATTACGTATTTGTTGGATTTAATTTTTTTTTAAGATATTGTAAGACTTTTAACAAATGAATCAATATTTTTATAGAAAAAAATCTCTCACAGTGCATAGCGTAGTGATATACTTTGTATATACTTCTTATCTTCATTATTAATTGACGTATAAATATTAAATAGACGTACTTGGTTCACAATAATTTATTGTGAGTCACTAATATTAGGAACACTATGATCGTTTTATTAATAAAAAAATGTCATTTTGTTATCACAATAGGTTAATTCATAAGAGAATAATTTATATTAATAAAATTTTTAATAATAAAGGTTACTGTATTAAAATTAGGGTCACTATATTCAATATAACACCGTAAATCAAATTCACAATAATATTAAAGGTCACACAAGTTTTAATAAAGGTTACTATATTAAAATTAAGGTCACTATGTTTATAATACAGTCAGTTGCGCGTACATGGAGCTCAGGTCTGCAATAATATTATTGTGAACTAGATCCACACAAGTTTAGCTATTAATTGACATGCGTTGTCTTTTTATATTGTTCACAAACTCTAATTTAATTAAATTTTTGTGATTACATAGCGTTTTTTCTCTTTTCAAAATTGATTTATATATAGATATAATAGTTAATTGAAATCTTGTTAAAATTGCCTCGATGTAAATTTTCATAATATCAACTTTTTATAATTATAATTTATTAATATTTAGAGATATTAAAAAAGATACGTGGCAACATTTTAGAAATTTTGATTTTTAATGCCACAAAAAACACGACACTAAAAAACTAGGGTTGACCGTGTGAGCATAACAGGGTTCCTCAAAATGGGAACCGAAACCTGTTGGACGAGTTCCTGGAAATTGGGAACCGGAACCGGAACGTACAGGTTCCGGTTCCGATTTAGGGTACCCTATCTTGTAATATAAATACTAACTTTTTTTAGATTTTTTTAATAAGATATCTGGTTGGTCACTAATTTTTAATGTTTACAACTCGCAAAATAAACAAACTAAGGCCCTATTCTTTTGAGTTGCTCTGCTCTGCTTTGCAGTGTGTGGAAGCCCTGTCCTGCACTGCTCTACTAATCTCTGCTCTGCTCTGCCCAAAAGCTCAAAAGAACAGGCCCTAATAGTAGTTGTCTAACAAATTTAAATCGTATATTTATAATTATTTATTATTTAAAAAATAAGTTATTGGTGTATAATTATTTAAAATTAAGTGATACTTTTAACAGGTTACAGGGTACCCTAAAGGTTCCGGTTTCAAAAAATTGAGAACTTGAACTGAAACCTGTTGCAATAAGTTCTCAATTTTACTACCCGGAACCGGAACCTCTTTTATAGGTTCTGGTTCCAGAACCTGCGGTTCCTAACAGATTCCAATTCCGATTTACGGTACCCTAATTTTTTGCTCACCCCTATAAAAAACAAAAACTTTTACAAAGTATTGTACGCCACAAAAAGGTCAAAAAAATGGATTTTACACCACTTAATGGATTCCGTCCAAGAATCCATTTAGTGGGGTCCACAATGTTGGCCATATGTTGCCATATCATTGGTTTTAAAAAAATACAGAAATATTTTAAAACCCTATAACTAATGTAGCCACCCCACCACCACCACTGACACCTCTTCCCCACCCAACCTAGTTGACCACCGTTGACTACCCCACCTCTAGCACACCCCCCCTCCCCATCCTACTTACCGAAAATTATTTTGAAAATATAAGTTCGTATGAATTGAATTGGAGAAGATCCCACAATATTGTGTTTTTTTCAATTTTGATCAATAAAAATTTACGGTCAAAGTTGATGAACTTTGGCTCCAAATGTAAAAATAGAGCAATTCTCAAATTTACTCTTTTAGTTTTTAAACCATATTTTCTTTTTAATTTGACAACTAAACTGTTAAAAAATACTTTCTCTATTTTCTTTTAAATGCAACTAACACACCTTCTTGCATGCACTTTGAGAAAGAGATTAAGTTATGTAACGGGAAAAATTAATTAAATAATTTATACACGTAGTACTTAAGCCTTCTCTAATTTTGATGTCGAAATTATTTTAATAAAATAGCTCGTTTACCTACTCTAATAAACTTTTTATAAACCGTACCAAAAAGTGTGTTGTATTTAAAAGAAAACAGTAATTTATTCGTAACTTAATGTGTGTCACAATCATGGCCACACGTTAGACAAACCAAATCAATAGTCGCACTACTTCTCTCCTTTGTTTTGTTTTACTTATTTGAGTAGTATTTTGCAACAAAATGGGCTCCCAACTAATTAATAATTGCCCCCTTGTTGGGATGCT